TTCGTTGTTCGCTAGTTCTGGTTTACAAGTCTCACTCTGGTGAAACCTGTGAACTCTTGTGAAGCTGGAGCAAGCTCGTCAAGCCATCATGGTAAAACCTGTCAACTCGAGAAGAGGCTGTCTAGATGGGTCGACACGTCGATGGGAAGTCGTTAAAGTGCAAAATGCCCCCCCCCTCGTCACCGAAAAGCGCCCGCACCTTATCGGGCGAGTATGCTATCCGTTACACCACCAGCGTTGCCCCTCTCAGCTTAATGGTTTTTGTGCCACAGCCCTGAACCCATCCCATTTCTTTCAGCCTCAATACCCCTAAGAATAGAGAAGGTGGTTCTGATGGCGTAACGGTCATCGCACTCATGTGGCAAAGGTTTAAGTCCCGTATGAGGTTCTTTATCCATAACTCAGCAGGCGCGAAGTCCGGCGCCAAACAGTTGTTATCGTGATGAAACAAATTCTAAAATGTGTTTTGTGTTGTATGCAAGTGATGATCAATGATCTAAAAGGACTGATTGTACCCCAAAGGTTATCAGTAGGACTTTTTTCAAGGAGTAAATTCTTTGTTTTGTACTTTAAAACCATTGATGCCTTAGAAAAAGCATGTCACCTTGAAGAAATTTCAATGACGGCCAATGCGCTCAAAACAAAGCAGAAGGACTTATTCTGAGATTTTCTTAGAAAATCTTCGAAGCAGTTTGGCTTGGTGGGAGCATCAAAGGGTTCTCAGCAGAACCTCTTGTAGGATGTTTTGAGTAGCAATACAACATGTTTGTGCTGGCTGAAACAAGTAGTTGATTGCGGTAGTATTTTGTATCAGAGGATGATAAGCTATGCGATAAAGAGCACTATGTAAGCGAACTACTAGGTAGGTCTCATTTTTGCCGCTCCGTTGAACTGCTATGATGTCTGCGGGAGTTCTTCGCCTCGTTCTCGTCTTGTCGACATTTTGTTTAGCTGTCTACGCTCTCCTTGACAGATCAATCATTGACAGAGCTGAGCTTAACGCTTGGATCGAACTGCAAGACGAGGATCAGTCGACGCTCAAGGTGGGTTTGCAGGACTTGCAGGCATACCATGATTTCAGGTGTACTTCAACACATTGCCATTTTCAGGTTGTTAAGGCTGATAAAGTCACCTCCAAGAGCAAGTTGTCATACAAGGAGGCTGAAGAGTACTGTGAGCAAGACAGTGCTCACTTGACTTCTGTTCGATCCCAAGACGAAGAAAACTTTATATCAGGTTACCAGAATCATCTCATCAACGTCGTATGTTCGGAATGTTGACTTAGGCTCAACCCATAAAAGGGTCGTATCATGAGCAGCACGTAGTGCGGCTCACATGCGGATGACGATTTGATAGCTAACTCAGAGGTGGAGAAAAGTTAGAAACGAAACTGCTCTCAATACCGCCTGCAGATCCGAGCTTGTAAGAACACACAGTCGACAGGAGACGGCGCATTTGGACGAGTTCCCGCTTGTAGGTAACTCGTCCAAACAACACCGGGATTGCAACGGTAGCAACTTTTCCCTTATAACGCCACTTTCACCATGTAGAATGGGAAGATCTAGTGGGGGAAAAAGCGTCCCTCTTCGGAGGCAATAGGCTAGTTTCTACTTGTTGCGGGAGATGGTCAAGACTTTGCCGTCACGTCGCGCGCGGCGAGAGACGCGGCGTTTTCGTAAATTGCTTCAGCTTGTCGATTAGAGCCTGCGTTCTATGTGGACTACGACATCGCAGATATATAGCAGTATGAGTTGTAGATTGATTATTGTTCGTGCGCATCTCCCTACCATCGTCATTAGCAACGCGACGCGACCGCACGCGCTGCCACTATCTGCGCCAGTTATCGTTGACATCCTCACATCAGTCTATGTTCTTGGCATCGATGGGGGCGTATGATTCGGGTTTTGCGCGTCGCAGTCCGTCGACACCACTTGCTGCGCAGGTAGTCGACAGCATTCGTTGAAAACGCTGCACAAAAGATATGAAGGCAAATTGCGCGTACCGAAAGAAAAAGAAGACGGGCCTGGCGCTGCGCCAACCGTTCCCGACCGCACGGTTACGTGACAAATGAAACTTTTAGTGGGGGTCCTGTCACAATAGGCCAGAGCGCAGAGCATTAAGGGTCTGCTACAGCTAGGGCAGCGTGAGGTAGAAAAAACAGTATGCGAGCCAGGAACTGAGCTTTTTCGAAAGGAGGACACCCGAGCGGTGTGGATGAGCCACTTAGTACTGCGCGTCGAAAGAGTTGGAATGTGGAAGGTCAAAGTCGGCATACAATCGCCATCCAGCGGTCAGAGAGGAGGCCAAAAAACACATAAAGTTTGGCGGCACATCGAAGGGACTGAGTTTTAAGTTTGTCCGTGACAGACCCCGCCACCCTTAATACATCTCATCGTCCGCAGCGAACAAGACTGCGCCCCTTGGTTTGTTGGTGGGAGTTAAGGTTAAAAGGAAAGTATACATAGCGATCCAGCGTAACCAACATTTCCGATGACCACGCTCAGAAGATAAGATACTTATCGATCCGATCAGACGAATACGCCGGATCGATATGTATCTAATTCTCTGGGCGTAGCCGCAGAAGACCTCGATCAGAAGCATCGCAGGTATACCCCGAATCTGTGATATGCAGTAGGCGTGGCCACATACACCATTCGAACGTGACGGCGGCTGCGCTTCCTATGAGATTTTTTTCGTGGGAAGACTGTAATCGTGTTTCTCAAAACAGGATGGCAGTTCTCCCAAATCAGAATATCCCTCGCATAATCCACCTTACGCCGTGCTCATATGGAGTATGCAATGACGCTCCTGCGCTCCAGAGAGCGGGTCTAGAGACGAACATGGGTAGCCTTCGTCTGCAGAGCCCTTGTCACTGGAGTCAGTCGGGACCGTGTCAGCATGTGCCCTTAATGGCCGCTTGTCCCATGCCCAGTGGTTATCTGGTCTTCCCAATGCACGCCTCTACCAGTGGCTACGCTCGTCTATTGTGTTAGACAGGGGATACTTGTTCATTTTCTCTGTACCGGCACGTCCATCCACGGACCCTTCTTCACTATCCTCATTTGAATCTCTTACAGTGGAGCGCTCACCGGACGGTGGGGCGTTCCCTACGACCACGCCGGCGAGCGTTCCGCTGATTGCGTGTCGATGGAAAGCCGAGAAATTCCAGGAAATCATCATCATTGCCCCTGCGTCTCTGACACTGACTCTGCGCTCTAACACACCCCGCCGCGCCCTCTTCTCACTCTTCCATCTGAACTCCCGCCGATCGATGGTTGCTGACGCTACCAATCAGCTGATTTCTGCCATAATTTTTGTTGTTTTTCTGCAATATTCAGCTTGTAAAAGCTGAAATTGTTCTAGTTTCGGTTTCAATTTTAGAGGTGAGTATGTTTACTGGAATAAGATTACATTCTGTATGAAT